TCGCCCACGTGCCGCCTTCCCTGCCGGTCCCGCTGTCTCATGATTCTAAGCAGGAACTCCGGCCACCCCTCCGGGGCCGTGACTGCCTGGTCTGGCCCTAGGCGAGGGGCCAGTGGGTGGCGCTTGGGGGCCGAGTTGCGCCCCCCTCAGAGTTGACCACAGTGCCCCGGGGGGTGACTGCGGAGACGGGGTCCTGGCAGAGGCCACCGAGGCAGAAGGAGGCCCTGGAGCGGGCCCGCTTCCAGGGGCTTGGTGGCCGGGTGAGAGCCAGCTGGGACAGAACCGTGTCCGAGAGAGGGCCGCGTGGCGACTGGTGAGGCGGCGTCCACCTGCGGGCCGGGAGAGCCCGGGGGAGGCGCACCTCAGCCTGGACGCCGGTGACTGGGGGTGGCCGCACCGCCCGGCAGACCAGCGGCCATTGGCCAGCCCCTGAGTGCTCCCATCGTGTGCAGGGCTCACGCTCCTGACTGGGTGGGGAGACCCGTGCAGCTCACCCCTTCCCTGCAGGCGGACCGGGCGCCTCCGCCCTTGGCTGTCACCGGCACCGTGCGGGGGCGCGGGCGGACCTGGCGCCAGGCATCGCGTCTCCAGGCAAGGGCAGTCGCCCGCACTGGGCCCTGGGCCTCGCCTGCCACCGGGCAGCGCCTGCTGTCTCCCTCCGCGAGCCGGGCCCTTTCCAGTGGACACTCAGGCATGGCGGAATCCCTCCTCACCGGGCCCTCCCGCTGGAGGCCTTTGGCTGATTGGACGAGGCCACTGTCCACTATGGAGGGAGATCTGGTCACTCACGTCGAGTGCGCAGATGTGACTGCAGCACCTGCGCAGTAACAGCTGCCGTGTGACCAGACAGCTGGACCCCAGAGCTGGCCAGTGTGACACACGACGGTAGCGCGCACTTAGCGTCTGATGTGAGGTCTCGGACATTAGCCACCACGACTGGACACTTGTCAGCTCTTGTCTAGCTGAAACTAGGCTCATTGTCACCCAAGAAGACTTTAAAAATGTTGAGTCTGATGATAAAATTTGCATGGAAATGCAAGGGGACCAGAAAGATTGAGGAACAAGTGGAAAAATGTCGGG